GCTGCCTTGTATTTATAACGGAACGTGAAGGCCCCGCGAGTTGTGTGAACAATGTGTTAATGCAGCGGTGACAATGAGGGACCACGCTCCACTGTAAGGGAAAGGAATGGAGGGAATGCAAACTCGGTAGAGGCGCCAGGGTTTCGGGGCTTCTGGACTTCAACAAAGCAGATGCTGACGCATGGCGGTGTAGTCTTTAAGTTGTTTAGGCACTGTCCAGAAGCAGACCTTTCCCTCTGTGCCGGGCTCCAAAAAAAATCAGTGGCGCACATGCGTCCGTGGTGAACAGCGGTGCCGTGGCCAGAGCCGGAAAGATGCTGCGGCACCATCTGCTTCTCCCGACATGATATTAACAAACACATTAAGGTTTAGTATACGTAGGGTGGCTGGACATATGAACACTCTTCACTTGACCCGTTGGTTTTAGCAGCCAATATTGTGAGTCGTGAACACTCCTGGTGGCCAGTTAGAACACAGCAGTTGTTTTCTATTGGACGAGTGAGATAATTCAACTACATTTGAAGCTTTCGTGACTGCAAGGATTCATACTCTTAGTTTTTTCGGTAAACTCACGTAGGTAAAAAATGAAATTAAAATTAATTAGTATTTTATTTTTATTAATTTTAATTTCATTTTTTACTTACGTGACTTTACCGAAAAAACTAAGAGTATAATTCAACTACAGCTTGAGTTCCTCAGAATCTCAAGGAGCCATACATCGTATCTCAACTACTTATTCCATTGCCCTGCGGTAGACTAACTTAAGAAGTCCCCCAGTGGCAGCTACCCCTACGCACCACAGGGCGTACACAGCACGGGCCTGAAAATGAAACTGGTGTCATCATCATCATCAGTGTGAACTTGCCTCACATGACTGACCACCCGTGCCCTCATCTCTCACCTCATCTTATTGTCGCCTACTCAATACGACCACGATGTTGACATTTCACACTGATGATGATGATGACGACGATGATGTCCTTGCTGTAGTTGAATAGTGTCACTTGCGAGATTACAAACAATAGGCTGCTGTGGCCAAGATCTTCATTATGGGTAACACGCAATTTTTCATGTTTGAACCAACAGAATTGTTGGGCTGGCAACATGAATCAAACGCAGTCATCCTTTGTGTTAAAACGTAGGTCGTCATTGCTTTAGACAGGCTTTAGACTATTTAATACTACTTTGATAAAGTGCGTTTGCTTATATCGTCAAGTTACCGCACGAAGATCGTTAACAACGCTTTGAAATATGCTACTTGAGCGCTTTGTTCAGTAACCTGATGATATCTGCCCTTTACGGCGCTACCCAATTTTTAAACTGCCCGTGTGATCTCACAATGGCAGTGAAGTAAACTGAGCTGCTGTTAGCACTGGAGCTAAATTGTTTGCATGTCAGTATGCCCCTCTTCATTATAATGCTATGTACATAGGGACGGTATTATAAAGGTTTCACCGGGTAAATGTGCGCCTATAATGTGTTCTATGTTTGTGGTTTGTAGGCGTGCGTGCGTGCGTGCGTGCGTGCGTGCGTGCGTGCGTGCGTGCGTGCGTGCGTGCGTGCGTGCGTGCGTGCGTGCGTGCGTGCGTGCGTGCGTGCGTGCGTGCGTGCGTGCGTGCGTGCGTGCGTGCGTGCGTGCGTGCGTGCGTGCGTGTCGGCTCGTTCAGCTTCCAGCAATCATTCTGTACAGCCTGCAGATGTGCATACATTCCAAAATGAATTAAAACATATTCGAACAAATATTATCTTTGTAGTGCCACTCATTTTGATATGCCAGATATTTGGTTTCAGGATTTACACAGCTGAAACTAAAAAACAGTGTTTTAAAGGAAAGCACTTTTAAAATTCTGAGCAAACGTCCTGCTACATTCTCTTTCCAGGTAACATCTGTAAAATAATTGGCATTAATTATCTACGGCTTGGCTCGGTATTGTTTTCACGAAGAATGCTGCACACACGTGGGTGCGTGGCTTTAATGTTGGATTTTCACCGACAAGTGCGTGGTGCTGCCCCTGCGCTGCCTGAGAATGAGAACTCGGCACGAGCACCCACAGTGCTGAGAAACATCGCTGCGCAGGAGCCGGAGGTGGCTCACGTTCCCAGCCTCGGGGGATTTAGAATCCCTGAGCGCAAGAGGTGCCACCGGATCATATATCGCAGCACGGAGTGCCGAGACCTCCTTAGCCTGTCCAACCATCAGGGCTGTCTGCAGATGCCATTGTCCTTTGTATTTCGTGTGGTTTTTTTTGGGGGGGGGGTGGGGAGGTTAATGTTTTTATTTCAATATTTCATCATGTTTGGCCACTTGTAAACAATTCCACGAGTTGTATAGTTTTGTGAAGTATGGTCAAAGAACCCCCAAATTCATTAGTGCATGGACAAGTTGGGCTATGTGGGTGAAACTAACTGAACAGATTGGGCTGGTGCATTGCGTGGACATTGTGGTGCATGTGCGAGTGTCCGACCGCCACCAAGTTTCGCTGCGCAGTTTTTAGCGGCTGTGCTGCAGGGCTCGGCACCACTTGCTGTTGTTCGACATCACGTCCGACGTTTCGCTCCACGTTCTGGCAGTGGCTCTACAACACGCAACGCACATGCAGTATAACCCGAATAACACATCAAAGAGCTGAAACACCCAAGTGTAGGACTGAGATGGCCATTATCTGGAGGTACAGACTATAGTTGAATACGTACAGAATGCATGCAAAGAAATTGCTAATATCTGAATGCAGGCTTCTGCTCACAAAGGGCCTTGAGAATCGGTGATGCTTCCTGGATGAAGGAATATTTTATTACCATGAATTCATCATTTAAACCTTACGCAATGTGGCAGGGAACAACTATAAAATGACACTCCATAAGATCTGTACCAATAAGAGATCGATCAATAACCTCTTGCCTGCCCTCTGGTTCAGTAAATGTCTTTGTACTTATCTGGGTGGGGTAGCACAACACCACTAATTAAGTGCTTTAAATGTTAGGGCTGGTTTATCTCGTAGTATTCGTTATACTCCCAAACCTCTAAGACTGAGAGGTAGCCAAGAGTTGGCAGTATTGCAAAGTGGATTAATTTATCAGTCTGTGTGTACATTCAAATATGTTACAACCGTATGTGTGGTTTGCTTCAGCTAATTCTAGATTTGAAGCTTTCGTGACTGCAAAGATTCATATTCTTAGGTTTTTTCGGTTAAGTCACGTAAGTAAAACATCAAAATAAAAACAAAATAAAAATAAAAATCACGACGTTTCGGAGGCAACACAAGTCTCCGTCATCAGGTGGGACCGTCACAGCCGAATTAGCTGCATCAAGTGAAGCAATGATTCAAGATGTAATCCCTTCAACTTGCTTATAAGGGATTACATCTTGAATCATTGCTTCACTTGATGCAGCTAATTCGGCTGTGACGGTCCCACCTGATGACGGAGACTTGTGTTGCCTCCGAAACGTCGTGATTTTTATTTTTATTTTATTTTTATTTTGATGTTTTACTTACGTGACTTAACCGAAAAAACCTAAGAATATGAATTTGCTTCAGCTACTTCTGTTTCATCCCACAGGCAACACATCTTGAAATGGAATGGGCCAAACATCCTAACGCGGAGCTTGTCTGACACAGTGAATACACAAATGAGTAGCACAACACGTGGAAATGAACACACGTATTTCAAACGGTGGATGGACAGTGGTTGAGAATGATGCCGGAATGGCAGCCAAAGGAGGGAATGGGGCCTGAGAGTCGCACCCAATGTAGAGATGGAGCCATTAAATATTGTCACGTGCAGGCACAATCATCCCTGTACCGTGAGATATTTGTGACGGCTTGGGGAGGCCTTCATCCTGCGGTGGATTCATCTTGTCAAATTACTAGGACGATGATGGTTACTAATTGATGCATTTCATTAATGAAAACATTATATTGGTCAAACATCCCAATATTTACAAACGACTCAATTGAGATGAGCCAAAGCAACATGCACCCCACACGGCTGCTGCGACAACTTGGCAGGCTCCCCTCCTGAGAAAGAGTTGAAGCTCATTGAGGCTGTGTGGGTGAACCGCACCTCCTATTGTCACGGTCGGCTATGTACCGTGGTGCCAAAGGAGTTCAACATACGTACATACAAACATACGTGCATACAAACATACGTGCATACAAACATACGTGCATACAAACATACGTGCATACAAACATACGTGCATACAAACATACGTGCATACAAACATACGTGCGTACAAACATACGTACATACAAACATACGTGCATACAAACATACGTACATACAAACATACGTGCATACAAACATACGTGCATACAAACATACGTACATACAAACATACGTGCATACAAACATACGTGCATACAAACATACGTACATACAAACATACGTACATACAAACATACGTGCATACAAACATACGTACATACAAACATACGTGCATACAAACATACGTGCATACAAACATACGTGCATACAAACATACGTGCATACAAACATACGTGCATACAAACATACGTGCGTACAAACATACGTGCGTACAAACATACGTGCGTACAAACATACGTGCGTACAAACATACGTGCGTACAAACATACGTGCGTACAAACATACGTGCGTACAAACATACGTGCGTACAAACATACGTGCATACAAACATACGTGCATACAAACATACGTGCATACAAACATACGTACATACAAACATACGTGCATACAAACATACGTGCATACAAACATACGTGCATACAAACAAGCGTGGGGAGGGGGGGGGAAGCACGTCGATGTTTTCTGTTCGCTGTCCGTACGGGAGAGCCGCGTGCTTTTTTCATGCACCCTCCGCCCCAGCGCTCACGTGCGTACATGTTTCCGTGTGTGCGTGTGCCCGTATGTGCGTGTGTGTGTGCGTGCGTGTGTGTGTGCTTGTGCCCGTGTGTGTGTGCGTGTGTGTGTGTATGCGTGTGCCCGTGCGTGTGTGTGCCCGTGCGTGCGCCCGCTCGCAGGTGTCCATCGTGGACGGTGGCGAGCCCCCGCTGCAGACGACGGCGCGCGTGGTGGTGCGCGTCTCCGACGAGAACGACAACGCCCCGCAGTTCGTGGAGAAGCGCGTGCAGGTGAAGGCGTTGGCGCGCGAGCGCTCGGTGGCGCGCGAGGTCGTGTGCCGCGTGTACGCCCGCGACGCCGACCACGGCGCCAACGCCGAACTCTCGTACTCCATCGACGGGGGGAACGAGGCCGGCAAGTTCTTCATCGACCCCAAGGACGGCGTCATCTCCACCAGGAACCCGTGCCCCGTGGGGACGTACGACTTCCTCACGGTACCGTGTGACATTTGTGTTGTTGTTGTTTTATATGTGTGTGTGTGTGTGTCGATTCACGATTTATTTTGTTGTGTTAGGCCACGTAATGTTCTGGCCAACTTTTGTGTTGTAGAACCCTCCAACCACCCGACCTGGCCAAAATAATGTACTCAGCACGTGACCTGGCATTCTCACAACCACATCTAGCGGTTAGATTTATGTGTCATGATCTTTCACCAGTTTTATCCCCATTGTACTGTCGGCATAATGTCACAGAAAGAAGCATCCGCTCAGATCTCTCACAAAGCAGTGGGAATCCTTCGTGTTGGGGAATGATCCACGGAAGCAGATGTCACAGAGCTACTTCTGAGATCCCTGTAAGTGACCTCTGGCCCACAGAGTCGAGGGCTTCACTTTCCCATCTGCCCTCCACATGAGAGACGGATGTTTATCGCATAACATTCTGAGAGCTGGAATTTAGCCAAATTAAGAGTTGAACCAAATTATATGCGATATTGTTTTGACGGAGTAATTTGTGCTTGAGCTGACACCTTCATTGTTTACTCTCTGATTTCTGTTGAGCAGCAGTGATGAAATTATCTTTACTAACCTCTAGTGAGATGCACATCTATCCTATTGAACTGCTGGTTAATTCTAAGCAACAGTGCATTGTAACAATGGGTTAAGAACCAAAGTCGTATAAATTAAAACAAAACTGGACAGACACGTGCAATGATTAATTGCTTCGGCACAATGGAAAGCAGAGCTCAATGTAATTAATGTAACGTTACTAAAAATAGGGGTGAAGTGGCAGCTCGGTGATTATTTGTGCACAGAGCTATTAACCAGACGACCCGGGTTTGATTCCCAGACACAGCTAACATCCGTACTGCGTGTTATCTGAACCCGCCCTAGGCCCCCCATTGTGGTGAAGTATGGTCAAACAACCCCGATTACTAAAGCAACGTGTGGAGGCATTCGTCTAGCAATGGATTAACAAAGGGGCTATAGGAATGCATCCATTCATTAATTAATTGCGATTAATAAGCTCACGATGCGTACGTCACGTAACGTGTAAGAATTAATGTGGTTTTTTGTCATTTGTGTATGTTGTGCACAGTGGGTTCACGTGACCACTCCAACCACTATAGGCCCACTACATTCAGAGATCAAATAAATTATCAAATCAAATCACAACCCTGAATTGCAACAATGCGTTGGATCGCGGTGGTCGCAAATGATCACGGCCCAGGTTATTATCTTGAGCCGACTGACTTCCGTCATAGGCAAGTGGAATTTCTACCGCTGGTACAGGCCCATTATCTTATCTTATTTAGATTTAAATAACGCCTTAGTCCAAGGCACTTTACAACAATTATTACATAGTGCATTTGATAAGTGGTTCAAACACAGAGTGGGGTTATTCAAAGTGGTCGTTTAGCTATGGTGACAGGAAGGAGCACAAGTGGAATTGGTTAAGGAGGGTTGGGGTAGGTGTCGTGACGGGGGTTGGGGTAGTGATAGGGGTAGTGATAGTGGTAGGGGTAGTGATAGTGGTAGGGGTAGTGATAGGGGTAATGATAGTGGTAGGGGTAGTGATAGGGGTAGTGATAGGGGTAGTGATAGGGGTAATGATAGTGGTAGGGGTAGTGATAGGGGTAGTGGTAGTGTATAGGGGTGGTGATAGTGATGGGGGTTGGGGTAGTGATAGGGGTAGTGACAGTGGTAGGGGTAGTGATAGTGGTAGGGGTAGTGATAGTGGATGGGGTAGTGATAGTGATAGGGGTAGTGATAGTGGTAGGGGTGGTGATAGTGGTAGGGGTGGTGATAGTGATAGGGAGGTGATCGGGGTAGTGATAGTGGTAGGGGTAGTGATAGTGGTAGGGGTAGTGATAGTGGTAGGGGTAGTGATAGTGATAGGGCGGTGATCGGGGTAGTGATGGTCAAAACTGGGGGGCCAGAAGTAGCAGCAGTAGGATAGCAAGGGAGAAGAGATGTGGTTATAAAGGGAGGAGCGGAAGCAGGTTAGCGAAGGTGATTGTTGTGTGGGCTGCCGTGGGATTTGTTCCAGTGAAGGGGAGCAAGAAGGGAAAGGGAACGAGAGCCGGCACAGAGAGGGTCGCTAGAGACTGGGCGATGAAGGGACGGGATGGTTCAGAGTAAGAACTCCACAAACACTTTATTTATGTAATTTGTTTTACAATTGATGTTGTGTAAATACTGTGGCTGTGAACAAAATGCGATCAATACTTTGGCAAGATAGCGACCTACTTACTCGTTTCTGTCATGGCTGGGATGAATTCCCCCTCCACGCTCGCTGAAGCAGAGCAGGCGTTCTGATCGTGAATTGACTTATCGGGTGTTCTATAAAACCTTGTAGAGGAAGATTTTGCCAGTTGTTAGTTGCTATGGGTGCTGCTTTTTAATCTGCAGGGTGCTCGTCATGTGATGCATCAATTATCTTTTTTGTTCTTGAGTAATGAAAAGAGATACATTTAATTGACAACTCAGACAGGAGGAGGTCATCATCTGTTTCTAATATTCAATCCAAACACAGACTACACTGACTTTCTAACACACTATATATTAAATTGCTTTATTTATTTTTTACGGTGAATTCATTGTATTACATCGGGATTTCCATGGATTCATTTGTATTGTTTCACAATTCCTTAAAGCGTTAATTGTGATGAATAATAAATATTTAAATGTTTTTAAGAAACAGTGTTTTCTTTGGCTGGCCAAATTGTTATAGTTACCTCCGTTATCTTCTACTTGAGCGAGACTTCAATTAAAATGCAATAACCACTTATAATAACCTTCAGAAAAGTTGTGTTATGTTTATTATTTAATTTTAAAAAGTACAGAGGCACTGCGATTTTTTTTTTATCTGAGCTTTAACATTTCAAACCTGAACAGAAAATGGTATAAATATAAGCCAATTATTTCTACAACTTATCTGCAGGTTGGAAAGAATTGGAATGATTTTTTAATACGTTTGTTGGCAATCTACGATTGATTTTGTGTTTGCAAACGCCGTGTCAAATGAATTAATCTTTGGGGTTGATCCTGGTTTTATGCCAGTCCTCAGAGGAGGCCGGCACAAATCAGCCAAGACCAGTTCTCATGGTTATGAGCGTGCATAAGAACAACACACAAGACCGGTGACTGCCAAGCCAAATTCACACGCCTAACGTCACAGATTGCAGAGCCACAGCAGTGGGTCAAGTGGGGCAGACTGAATAAGGGTGGTGGTGGCTTGTGATGTGTAGCTACTTGAACTACAGTCTCGTCGTCTCTATGTTTGACCAAAGCTTTGTGCTACGCTGGCAACTTTAACCTTGTTGTGAAGACCTTTTTCTTGGCTGCAACAGATATTTTGAAATGTCCTTCACTTGTAGCCGTGTACCATTATTAAATGTTCCCAAAAGAGTTCTCCAGTGCATTGTTTATGGGTTGTATTTAAAATATTCTACCGGGAAAGATTGAAATGGGCTTTAAGTGATATATTGGGTGATGGCTGATGCCACAAAAACCTTTGTGGTCTTGTTTTTGGTACTTTGTTCAGTCAATTGTTTATTATCGTAGGATGAATTGAGATTACCAGGGTTTGTTTTACCACAACAAAGACACAAATCTGAGCCCCAGGGAATGTGCGAGGCTCTGTTGTTGCTTAATTCCCGTGTGACCTCCAGCCCATTTTTCTCGATCCCAGCGATTGTCCTGTTATTTCCCAGATTCTCTTACTTAATCATATGGCAATAAAAAGCGAAAGTTAAGGTGAAGCAACAAATGTGCGCCCATGGCCGCTGCGGCTTTTCACCCACGCAAGCCAACACACAGGGGCGTTTTGCATCAATCAAGAGGGCGGCACATTTTGGCGACTCAGATAGTCGAGTTAGGTGACACTCGGCGGCTCGTTATTGCCATCCCCTCCCCCAAGATACTTGGTGCGTTGTCGCGATGTGTGCCTGCGGTATTGATGCAAGAATCCATTCCTTTTGGTTTCAGCGCAGTGAATTGACTTGGTAGCACCATGTAATGGAGAATGCTGAAATTCAGTTTGGTCCATGCGTGCTGGCCAAAGTTACTCTGGAAAATAAAAATAAACATTCAGGGTTGGGTGATGCTGACATCTATATTCTAAAAATCACTGACCCTCAGCATTCTTTCTAAATAACGTAGATAAATTAAGTTCGTTCACGGTGTTGGTTTTCCTCTCAGACATTCACGTGGTATGTTAGATTATTAGATTTGCTGTGTAATGTAATCGCTTTGTATATGTAGGTGAGGAAGGTGATCTCATGTGAACACCTGCACGGTCTACTTACCGCTGGGTCACATAATCCCAGGCGTTAGTTGTTACCTTAACACAAGCTGAAATAATTGCACCTTACAAATCATGTAGGCGACCGTGTTTTGCCCATGCTTGCCTAACTTTTTATAAGCACGGCAGGAATTGTGACAATCCATCCTCACTCAGCTGAGCTGCAAACAGCGGCTTGTGAGAGTTCTCAGCTGTGGCTATTTACCAGAAGTTTTGGTGCTTGAACTGGGTGCAGGGAACAATGTCAACAATAAACCAACCTCAAGCATCCCTGAAACCTAATGTGCAAAAATAAAGCTGACATTATTTATTTTACTCAACCACGCAATGTCAATGAAGTTTTAATGCATATTTACAACCCGCAGCTCCACGAGATTCTACTGTAGTGGCACTATTGGGTGCCCCAATATTTATTAAATGTACATTGAGGTGGTAACACCATAATTATCTTGATTATAACTTATTTAATTATGAACCCTACTCTTAAATGTTGGCAGGGCACACAACTATTCCTATAATAAGATAAATAAATATACGTTTCTTTCATCATTCTAACAGCAGTGGCTTGAATTGCCAATGGCTCTATAGATTAAACGCCAGTTATTCCTGAAGCAGAAAGTATTTAATCAAGGATAATTACTTGAAATGGGCTTGGTTCTGCCGAGTGTTAGCTTCTACGATATTCATCTAGCGTTCTTTGGGTCTTTCGGTAAAGTCATGTAGATAGGTTAAAATAAAATAACAAAAATCTACGATGTTTCGATCGCAACACAAGCGATCCAAACGTCGTAAGTTTTTTTGTTATTTTCTTTGAACCTATCTACGTGACTTTACCGAAAGACCCAAAGAATATTAATTCCTGCAGTCACGAAAGCTTTAAGTCAAGATTCATCTAGCGTTGCTTGTTCCTCTGAGACTGGATTATTGGCAGGAATTGTTCGTAACATTTTCACAAGTAAGAGATTTCTTGCAATGAATTTGTTTATCAAAACATGCAATCAAAAACAGAGTGAAGACGAATGCCTTGAGAAGAGGCACATCCAGTGCATACACCTTCACAGTATTCATCATGTTCGCTTTCTTTCTATCTCCAGATCAAAGTCGTCGACAACGGAAGGCCTCTGAAGTCCTCTTTGGCTAAGCTGGACGTGGATTGGATAGCCAGGCCCGACCCGCCGCAGACACCGGTGGCGTTTACCGAGAGCCTCTACGCGGTGTCCATCATCGAGATTGAGCCTGTGGGCTTCATGCTGCTCGTCCTGCCCACGCAGCCCACAAATGGCCTCCGCTGGTTCGACATCACAGGTCAGAAATGCCTCGTTACTCGCACCTCATTCACCTGCCAAAATATTTGAGTTCATTCGCTCAAGTTGTCCTCTGCTAAGTCAAGAGTGGTTTCCTACTACTGTGTATTTTTACCCGGGGGAGAAACCAGGTAAGGCCTGAGTGAGCCACGCAGCTCTTTTTCAGAAGCAACCTGGCCATAATGATAGCTTGACGAAGTGTCTTACCAAATGGAGGGAAAAACCGGAGGACCCGGAGAAAATCCACGTGACTACGAGGAGAACATGCAAACTCCAAATATACAGGCATCAGGGTGAGGAAATACACGACCTCCTGTATGCCAGCTGAGGTAGTTAACATCTCGTTACCCCAATCTTCACTGACCAGAATGATGCAGCACGGTCAAACAACCCCATCATGACTGACCCAGTGTGAGGAGGTCTCATCTAGCAGTGCATTGCCAGAGTGCTCTAAATAATCTTGCTGTAATAACATATCAAACATTTCCCATTCTCTGGATAGTATTTGTTGTAACCGTGTAATTGAGAGTAAATTATACATTGGAGCGCAGGCTTTTTGCCTGGAGGAAATCCAAGAGTAGGACGTCGTCATGGCCAAGGCCTCATGGCCCACAAATGCCATGAGGCCTTGGCAGCACCCAGTAGCAGCAGCAGTACCACCATCAGCACCGCAGCCACAGCAGAAGGATGCAGTCGGAGCCAGCATGAACATAGCATTAAATTTGAGTGCGAAAACCGCGAATGATGAAAAACAATAACACAAAACAAGGTGTGATAAAATTAAATGTGCATGCAAACATACCAAAAGAATAGACGCTTCTAGAATACACTTGTATATTAAATTTAAGCAGTGATAAAATCGAAAAATTACGTGTCTGAAATCATGTTAAAAGAAAGTAGGCTTCATGTAGCTATTGTGGTTGTGTGCATTACCAAACCGGTCAAACATTTTTTCATTCCTGCGTGCGAATCGGTGGTTGTAGGTGTAAAATAACAAACAAAAAATTAACGTCCTTTTTTGTAATCACACTGAGGAACAATCACATAATGTCCTTTAATCTATTTGAATCATTCATCACACGCATATCCAACTTGATTGCGGGAGATTTGGCTTATAATAGGCACGTCATTCGATGAGACACCATTGACAAGCTGATATATTTCTTCATCCATCGTGCCTGGATCAAATTTGTAACGTAATATTAAAATCAATAGTAACAATAAATTATTAGTATCGTTATTTGCAGCCCTTTATCAACAAACGACTGGACGGAGGCCTTGCCACACCGTGTCAGTTATGGGGGTTGTTTGACCATCATTCACCACGCTGATCGGCGTGTGGCTTGGTGGAGTGGTGCCCCGGAATAACGCTCCCCACTCACGTTGCTCATGGCCAGGAATCAAGCTTAGCTTGCTGGGTCCATAGCGCGCAGTGTGCTACTTGCTGTTGACGCTGCTTCTCCGTTTGTATTATAACTGAGCTAGTATGGTCAGATGTGCAATGACGCGTCGAGCTGAACCAATCTCGATCGCGAACAAATTTCAATCGGCACACATGACGGTCGTCAGCGCTCACTGCTTGCGGTCATCTCGTCTGAACAGGTGGCAATGTGGACAACAAATTCCACATTAAGAAACACACCGGCACTCTGGAGCTGGCCAAGAACCTGGATGCTGAGCGAATGTCCTTCTACAACCTGACTGTGATGGTGACCGATGGGACCAACTCTGCAATGACGCAGGTGTGTGTGTGTGCGTCGTTCAGGGCAGGGCTAAGGTATTAATGCAAGGGGCCGTTCGATAGAATTAAGGGCATGGGGGTGTCTTTAGGTGGGTTAGATTGAGGGCTATTAGATTGAGGAAGGATGTGAGAGAATTGGGTCTTAAGGCTCGGCAGGAAACTTCCTTAAATCGGGGAAAATGTCACAGTGCTTGTGTCCACATGCTCAGCTATTAGATCGAGCGGGGGAGATGGCCTTGAGCTTGGCAGCATGGAAGGTTTGGGTATAGGATGTGTCAGCGGTAATAACATGGCTCAGCATTTGTGACTCAAAGCAATTGCCATTCTCACACATACGCACATGCGATGGTTTTATGCGCATGCTTCAAGTTGACTGAAAGGTGCTTGGCACTCATGGTACATTTACTTAAAGAACTTGAAAAATGCAAGAACCATCCGTGAGGGTTTTCCCTTCAACTTCAACTGTCGTGGACATTTTAACATCAATGCTTTTTTTCGTTTCTGTCTGGCTGTTCTCAACCTCCCACCCTGCCTCATCTCCGTCTTCTCTCCCTTCACTTACAGATGTAAAAATAACACAAAATGTACCCTGCCAAGGTCATTTCAAAATAAGTGGTGGTAACATCGACATGTTCTCGTTAACAATACGCGCTGCTGCAATAAGACCTGTTCATGTGACCGAGAGAAAACGGAGGGAGATTTTTTAACGTGAAAATTCATGCAAAAGATCACATTTGAGAAAATCAATGTTCCCAGTGATTAAACCAACATCGGCATAATTTGATGGGAAGAGAAATACACTCGAAGGGTTGGAATGTCAGCGTTGGAATGGAGACAGACTAATGCGTGACGAGTTTCATTGTTCAATCGTAATCCACCAACTTCTATTTGAACAAAAGGTTGTTCGGTGATGCCACGCATGAGGTCCTCTCAGCAAGTCATTCATGCCTATAAATTGTAATACTTTCAAAGCGCTTTCAGATTTAACATGCTACCTCGCCAGAAATAGTTTTGGAAGCATGCAAAATCAAATTAGTTTTAGATTAAATTTCATAATAGGCAGCGATTATCTGAAAACGACCGTGCAATAACGAATATGGATTTGCTATGGCACTTAAAGAGAAGGCGTGCATATTGTCTACATTAATTTATATAAATTATCGTAATACAGATTTACTGTGCCTTTTCACAGGGAACTAACTCTTTTCTGCGTTTGTTTATTTATTTTGTTATGTGTTATGTAGATTTGTATGCGCGCCAGCCAGAGCAAACGTAAAATCAATAAAGATTCGCACGGATGGGTGTCGTCCACCAGCAGTGGCAACGTGGCAATGGGTTTTTACCAAACGAGGTCGCTTGTTGGAAACAAAAAATGTTACTTGCCAAATTTCGGACAGTGGCACCCGGCACACATGGCTTGTTCTTTTTAAAAGAACGTCTTTTACTCCAGTCGTGAAGCAGATGCTTTTATGTTGCTAGTTGACCCACAGCATTAGCCAGGGTGGCCATGCGCTTCGAGCCGCAAGCCCTTGCGGCAAGCGCATCACAGACTGGAGGATGCATACTTGAGCCCTTTTGATACAGCTTGGCTATACTCCCATGAGTTAACAGTTCTAAAGCAACATTAAAACCGGGGGTTCATTTTTCCTTTGAATTCAGAAATCGGCAGCCATATTTGCTCTAATTGTATATAATTACAAGTTGAAGTTAACAATTAGAATGTATCTTGCTGTGTACTGTCATGCAGGGCCATGCTAAATTATTTTTACATTTTCGTTATAAACCTTTATTTATATTTCCAGGGAACCATTCTGCTAATTATCAGCATTAAATAGATTTTTTTAATGCAATATAATACAAAAAAATGCATTTGTGAAGCGTATAATTGCCACAGCGTGTGTATATTTGTCGGCTACTGACAGAAGCAGCTTGAAAGGGATGTGAAGTTCAAAAAGGCAAACCTGTCAATAGATCAGGTCGATAATATTTCATTGCGACCTTTATCTTCCCATAAAAGATATACCACTGTGCATTGTGGCGTTTCACTTTCATCGCAGTGCTGCAAGAGTAACGCAACATGTGAAGAAAGTGTTGATTTCTGCTCAGTCGTTTCAAAGCTCCTTGCAACATAAAACCTTTTCCACTATATGTAGATAGGAAGGGGTTGAGTGAGAGTATGCTTGAGTTTAAACATTATCACATCTTCTAATGTGTATTCAGGTGGTATGCTGAGGCTTGTGCCAAGTGAGTAGAATGCTACTACTAATGCTGATGATGATGGTGATGAGACCTTTGCTGGATAAAGGCCTTCCCACGCCATGTTGATCATAGGGGTTGTTTGACCATACTTCACCACGCAGGTTAATGCAGGCTGTGAAGGAAGGAGCCAGGACTAGTTAATAGATCACTCACCACGCGCTATTAGCTATGGCCAGCAATGAAACATAAGGCAGCATGGTCAGAGTGCCGTGAGCTAAACACTGTGCCACCACTCCACCCAGTTAATTGGGTACCTATCTCATGTCTTATCGACAGACATGTTCTTCACCTGAGGACGGCTGCTTGCGTTGTGGCCGAAACGTCGTGAGAATTATTTTATTATGTTTTATTTTTATTATTTTATTACTTCCCTTCTACGTGACTTTACCGAAAGAATCAAGAAGAAGACTTTCTGCACCACTTATTTGAAATGTACTAAATTGGTTTGGGAGTTCTCTCTCTTGTAGCGGCATTGAGAAAGTGTCACTCCAAAGAGTGCCAATGATCACCGTCTGCTTCTGTGCAGTCATATTCGTGGCTTTGAATATTATGCCCGAATAAACTGCCTTGCCAATCGACTTTGCTTGTCGTAGAGACAACAGCGCCTCTCTCAGAAGGCAAGAGGCGGCGCACTGGATAGTGGTCACGGCTTCAAGGGACGCGGGTATTCTCTCTCGATGAATCTGCGATGCAAACTGGGCGCTCAGGGGCATTATGCGATCGCAGTGGGCATCCCTCCGGGGAACGTGAAAGATCGGTCTGCGTTAGAGAACCGATTCTTTTTTCGCCGTAAGCGACCGTTTCTTTTGTAGGAATCTGCTCGCCGGCTGACGTAACCTTTTCCCTGTGTGTGACCCCACCGCCTGCAAGATGGACTCACTGTCATCACGGTCCACGTGTTGAGCACAGAATCTGATGGCTTTCCCACCTGGTCGCCAACCCTCACGTTTCCCGTGGATGCTCTGTAGTGAGAGATTTGTGTTAAGCTCTCTCATAGGGATTTGACAAGCATTGCTGTAGACTGCCGTGACTTCCTCTCTGTAATAATTACCACCACAAAGAGGCCTGTTGTGCAAGAGTGCGCATTTAGAACTGCATTAAGATCACTCTCAAGGTGTCAGGGTTCAGATTTATCCAGCACAAATGCTTCGGCCCAATGCCGCCCAGTTCCAGTGTTGAAGACACTGAGTAATGTAAACACTGAACTGAAGCTGAACTGAAGCTGAACTGAAGCTGAACTTCTGTGTGGAAGCCATACAATGCCACAGCAAGTGAGGGCAGAACAGCATCTGGTTTAGTGCAGCCAAAGCCGCGTATTTCATATCAGCATTTGCTTACTGGAGTGGCCCATTCAATATGAATTGTCCATTGAACATAAATGAGATACGGTTGCATATTTAAACGGTCTTGTATTTAATGCTCGACTGTTGATCCACATCAATACCTAGTGCTCTAGTGCAGATGTTGTAAAGTTCTTCCCTGAGAGCCGTAGTACTCCATTGAGTAGTGAAGGTGGACACGGGAGAGCTAACATGCGTGATCAGTGGAGGAGGATCGTTCAACTTTCGCTGCCAGTGTTTGCATTGTCCTCTTAATTACGTTTCCAATACGATCGAGAATTGTTGCAGCTGGCGTACGTACAAGTCCATTAGCCAAGTACATTGTTCTCAAAGATTGAAGCCTCTGGACTTTGCCCATTGGTTTTGCTTATTAGGCCAGAACAAGCAGTAAGAAGCAGCTCACTTGTAAGAAACTAGGTCATTTGGCAAATTATTCATAATGGAGTCTACACATTGGTGAATGCTTTTAATTCCAGTCGATGTTCGTTTTTTTATGCGTAATGCTTTCACGTGGTTGTTACGTTCACAAGAAGAATGCGTATGACGCTGCTTTTGGATGACCATCATGCACCCTTGAGTGTAATAAATACCGCAGAAAAAAACATGCATCGTATTTGGCGACATGGCTTCATATTAATAGGAAATGTGGAGAAAAAATAGAGTACAGTACATTGTTGCATATCAATACCCCACAATTAAAAAGAGATTCACACTTATGTGAATGCTTCACCAGTAGATGTATCGTTCATGAGACTAATACATGGATCACAGCACGGTATTTTTAAGTTATGTACTGTCTAACTGCATTCATTTATTATGTTTTTAAAATTGAGACTGTATACATTTATTTTTTTACAAATACAGTTCATGAAGCGAACAGTACGTGCGTGTATCCACATTTTTATTGTTGCAGCGACTATCCAATATTTTATTTGGAAGGTAAATAATTACGATATAATGTTTCGTTTTTTAAGATCCGATGTATCAGTGGTTGTGCTGCTCATGCCAGGATTATAATCTGAATGGCTATACGCGACCTTGCTATTGCAGAGATGAACATTTGGGCTTCAACAGCAGTAATTAAATGTTTCGGAATACAAAGTCAGATTTCACGACCTGTTGACCAGAGCCTCAAGCAACAGGAAGTAAATGAACACATTAAGCTGATTTAATTGCGGGCCCGTTCGAGAGAATGTAAGTGATGTGTAAACATTGGGTTGTCGAGCATTAATCCAACCTAATATTCGCATATCACTTACTCCCGAATTTGCATAATTGAGATGGAATATCTGTAACCTGCCCTTGCAAAGTGCATGCTTTTTCTTCGTTTAATGAGGGAGTGGAATCATTTTTGAGCTGATTGTTTTCCTAGATGCCCTCTGCAGCGATTTAGTCAGGTCAG